TTATCTTCCTTGGATCCAAAATTGTTCATGATGGCAGTTTTACTCCTGAAATAAAATTCAGGATAACCTTAGGCCATACTGCAATGGTTAACATGAATCTGATCTAGAAAAGCAGAGATATTGATATAAATACAAAAAGCAGGCTAGTTAGATCAATAGTCTTCTCTACAATGATGTATGCTCTCTACAATGAGAGTTGGACACTAAGAATGGCTAATCAAAGAAGAATTGTTGCCTTTGAAGTGTGGTGCTGACATAAATTAATGGTATACCATGGCAAATCAGAGTAACTAACAGAGAGGTGTTAAATAATATAAAACCAGATACATCAGTCGAAGCTGAAATCATAAGACTATGTCTGATTTACTTTGGCTGTGTCCTGAATGCAAAGTCATTGGAGAAGTCCATGACGCTAGGGATGATTAGTGGAACAAGAAGAAGGGGCAAGCAAAAAACACGCTGGCTTTATAACATCAAATCTGATGCAAAGTTGAACATCCAACAATGGAAAGAAATTGTGTTTGACAGGGTAGGATGGGGAGCACTTGGCTATAAAGTCGCCAAGACTTGGACATGACTAAATGGTTAAAAACAGCAAACAATTAGTCAGCTGTGAAGTCAAGTTCTGATGGATAGGAGTGAAGACACAAATGACCAAATCTTCCATGAAGTGTTAGTTTTTTTTTATTTTGAGGGAGAGGTCCATGACTTGAGTCTCCCCCCTGGATTCATGGCTATTGCTAAAAAAAATAGGTAGAGGCTGTGGCCTGGAAGTCCATTGGTCAGTTCTGATTGGTGCACCAACAGTAGCCTTCACTGGAATGGATTGCCATGGTGATTTATATATTATCTATTTATTTATTTAATTAATTTGCCATCTATCTCACCATGGGGCTACTCTAGGCGGCTTACAATAACAAAAAGGAAGAAAAGGAAAGGGGTGCAAACAGAGCAGAAGTAAAATAATAGAACAATAAAGTAAACAACGATAAAGGAACCCAACAAGAATAATAATCTGTTCCTTTATCATTTTTTTATTTTTATTTTTTTTTTAACTTGGATGATTGGCAAAAGGGTATAAACAAATTTATTTGGGCGGGCAAGAAGCCAAGGGTTAGGTTCAAGATTATGCAGGATATAAGAGAACGAGGAGGACTTAAAGTTCCTAATTTAAAATTATATTATGATGCGGTGGTTTTGACATGGATTAGTGATTGGTTAAATTTGACAAATAGAAATATTCTTTCTCTT